TTTATATATATAGCTCCAAACTATTAAAAGCTCCATTTTAAACTTTATAAATATTTCTTTCGTGAAAGAAAAATTAGTTTGGTGTATATTATTTTAATTTTTTTAAATAAAATATTTAATTTAAAAATTTTTCTATTTGAAAAATTGATGTACTAATTATACTTTCTAACACTTCAACTTTTTGGTGCACAATGAGTTGATCAACCATCTTAAGATATTCCAGCGCAGGATTGTCCGCTGACATTCCACTAGGAATTTCAATCCTGTTGCCATTCAATCCTGAAGCATAAAATAATACTTTAAAATAATGACTATCAAAGTAAAAACCTCCTCCCTTAATAGATATTTTTTTAAAATCTGTGTCATCAAGTTACAATATTACATATTATGTGATGGTAAATTATTATTTAATTGAGAGAAAGCAAACAAAATTTATATCAAAATTTTAAAAAAAAAACTCATTCTGAGGAAGGTAAGAGCAAAGGAGTGTTTAAAATCATCAAGAAACAGTATATTCGACGAAAGGAAATAAAAATGCTATTTATTCTTAACTTGATCAAATAAAACTAATTTTTTATGAGTTTTAATTTTTATTTTTCACCGATTCAATCTAATCTCGATAACATTTTTATTTTGTTTGTTTTTCTCCGTTTAAATTATAATTTGGATGACTAAATTACACATTATTACTTTATTCTTGACAAAAATCTTAAAATATATATAAAGAACGGTGTTTATTAAATATTTATGATACATAATACTAAAGTGAGAATCACATAGCAGCGTTAGGACATTAGTGTAAGTTATCAAGTTTCGTGAGTAAGAAGTGCTCGGTCTCAAACAAATTCAACCTCAGATATTAAATATCTGAAGGTTAAGTCCATCTATTGATTATTCTACTAATTGCTTACTGTTGTAGACAATTATAATGTTTAATTCAATTAATTCCTCATCTTTATGAATTAAAACTAATTTTTGATGAATATTGATCTATATTTAAATACTAATAATACTAAAGCATGTGCTACATAGAACATTAGTGTAAATTATCAAGTTCGTGAATAAGATGTACGTGGCCTTATACAAATGTCATTTTAAGTTTCTGAAGGCTAAACCTATTTATTTGTCAACCTACTAATTGCTTACTGTTGTAGATAATTTTTGATGATTCTTGATCAATATTTAATCAGGGGTGATTGTGATCCAAACTCAAAAACCCTGAAAATTTCTTGAATAAAATTATTAATGACGCATTTCAAAAAATTAATGTCTTTAAAAATTTAAATCATTGATAGTTTCACTACGTGAAGTTCTAAATAAATTATATGCAGCATAATTTAAATTAATAATTTAGTATAAGTTTACTTTTATCTCTAATCACATTTATTATTCTACCAGAAAAAAATATTTACAAAAGAAAGAGATGCCAAGTATAAATTCTAGTTTTAATATTTTAGAATAAAATATACAAGAATTTTTATACATAAATGTGACCAATAACGTCTTGAAACTTCTGAACCTTGAATTTCCGGAAACTTCCGGATCTCGGTTAGCAAAAAATCCGGAAATCCGGACTTTTTGCGGAGCACAATCTTCTCCGTATTTTACACCGATTCAATCAAATGTCGATATCGCTTTGATTTTTGTTTGCTTTTTTACCAGCTTAAATTTTAATTTGAACCTCTAAATAACAATTATGTTTACTTCATTCTTGACAAGGAGTTTAAAATGCGTATTAAGTACGGTGTTTACGAAGTACTTATAATGCATATGAGGCACACAGTGGCCTTATAACATTAGTGTAACTTATTAAGTTCGTATACGTACCCTTCAACATACGTCATTTCAGTTCCTGAAGGATAAACTCATCTATCAATCAAGTTATTGCTCAAGATCAATCTAGTTATTGCTTATAGTTGTAAATAAATAAAAAGCGCATTGGAATAGCAGATGGAATTTTCCAGATCGGATAGCTTTCGCATCGATTCAAAATCATAGTAATGAATCACATGCCCACATAATGGCTTATTTGTGAGTAATATATTCAGGAAAACTGTCCTTTTTAAAAATAAATACACAATAAAAGAAACTCTTATACGCAATTCAACGTTGCTAAACTTTTTTTGCAAACATCTTGGATGATAATTGAAGAGGTTATCAAGCATTCAGCTCAAATGGTATTTTTATTTTGTACTGGCTAAAGCTGCCATCTAACCATCATCTAACTGACTATTAATTACTAATTAAGGTAGGTAAATATATAAACATACGAGATCGAATGACACTGTTTCCTTTGTTTTAACTTTTAATGAAAGGTATGAAATTCACGAAAAAAGCATAATAATGCTACTCATTAATATGTCCTTTCATTAAAATACCACCAATGGGTGGCATTTTAATGATAATGCATATTAATGAATAGCATATTAATAAGAAATGACGATTAAGAAAGTGAAAAATAAAAATATTTCACGTGTTACACATGCTGCTAAATTTCGAAGAAATTGGATAATAGTTAAACGAGTTGAATTTGCGAACGAGAAATACGCAGTCTTGATATAACGCTTTTCATTTGCAATAGTTTACTTCCATCGTTGTATAATTTTTTTTTTATATTTCTGCATACAATTTGTTTCAACAAAATAAATAAAACGTAGCTTTTTGGAAATTTTAAAATTTTTTTCACTCATAAGACTTTAATAAGATCTTAACTAAATACTCTTCCCAATTATTTTAGGCGTTTAAAATACACTCTATAACAAAAAAATCGACGCACCAAGAAGCAATCATCCGATTGCTTCTTGGTACCAGATTACAGTGGTGCATGGTTCGATCAGGTTGGAATGATGCCGACTGGGGGCGTATAGTCTTCAGCGACGAATCCCACTTCCAACTGTGTCCTGACGATCATCGAAGACGTGTTTGGAGACGCACAGGGCAGAGGGGGGATCCTGCCTTCACTATTGCACACCAGACCGGCCCTCAACAAGGCATTATGGTCTGGGGTGCCATTTCCTTTGACAGCCGGACCCCTTTGGTCGTCATTAGAGGTACACTTACTGCACAGCGGTACGTCGACGACATCCTAAGACCTGTTTTGCTACCGTTCCTTTTGCAGCGCCCTGGGCTGGTTTTTCAGCAGGACAATGCCAGACCACATACGGCACGTGTTGCTATGAACTGTCTGCAAGCTTGTCAAACTCTTCCTTGGCCTGCCAGATCACCAGATCTCTCTCCCATCGAGCATGTCTGGGATATGATGGGAAGGCGATTGCATCTGGCACGGAATGTTGATGACCTCGTTCGACAATTGGATCGAATTTGGTAGGAAATACCGCAAGAGACCATCCAGGGGCTTTATCGGTCTATGCCACGCCGTGTGGCAGCTTGTATCCAGGCTAGAGGCGGGTCAACACCTTATTGAACTTGTTACTGTAACTCTACAATAAATTAATCAAATGTTCTGAAATTTTAATCATTTACTATTCTGTGTATTATCTTCCTATCCACCTATTTTCGTTTCAATCAGACGACTCCTCCTTGGTGAGTCGATTTTTTTTTTGTTATAGAGTGTATATTGATTCACACATTGAATAATATAACAATGTATGAGTTCATAATGATCTCATCTTCATTACTCAGTTAAAATAAATAAATAAAAATAATAAATCATTAGAATTTTGATTAGAACAATTACCTGGAATTTTAGCACCGGGTTGATTTGTTATAGTTACCGCCTCATCTAATGCTGGATACAATGCAGTAGACATATTTTGATCTTGAAGTTCGACACTGAAAGGATGGCTGTAGTTTGTATTTGGAAAAGAGCTCATTACTTTCAAACTTCACAAACCTTCAAGAAATGGCTTTTGAATCTAAAAACAAACGCAAAGAAAAAGAACTGTACATTAAACAAATACATTAAATCAAATAATTAAATTTTTTTGGAAAACAATGTAAAAAAATAAAAAAACACTTTAAATATAACTTTAGAAAACATGGCTATTAAGTTTTGTGGTAAATAAAGTAGAACAACGTAAAAAAGCATAAAGAGATTTTGCTTAGGATTATGGCACCCCCTAACTGCAACGTTAACGTTATTTGAGCTTCAAAGCACATTCTCTAGATTTCCCTACCAATCAGCGTATTTCCAGAGATTCCAAAATATCGTTTCTCGAAGAACTAGCGTTCCGTGAAAGGTTAAAAGTGGTTAAAAGTTAGAACTTAATTTTACTTCACAGTAATAATTTTTGAACCCTAATTTATATGTAGATCGAATTAATAATCTATTAATTATTTAATATTTCGCTTGTCTTTATGAAATTATTTCCAATGCTAATACTGTAAAATGCCAATAAAATTTTTTGTTTTAAAAATATCTTGAATATATTATGAAAAGAACCAGCATTTATGAAAAATTATATTGCTTTTTCTCGCCGTGAGTTTGACATCAAAATAATCCTCTCAAAATGCTCAAATATTTACGGTTTCATAGCTGAAAAAAAATTTAGGAACTTCTGCCCTAAATTGTAGAAATTAAAGTTAGCTTTACGGTTAACGCAAGTTAATGATATGCAAAAGCCCTCTAATGTCATATAAAACAATTCGATGTTCATTTCGATGGTATAAAGACGCATTATTTTTCGAATAAAAACAAAGTAAATAATGGAACTGAGAAAGTACCAAGTGAGTACTGTTTTGAATGTTTACTATTTTCAACATTGCAATTTGCAAGTTAATAAGTACAATTTATTACTTGGAGAAAAAAAAAGCATAAGATATAAAAACTTATTTTGTATTCCAAAGTCTTTTTATAACTTAATTCACTTAAGGAAGATTAAGAATAGGTAAATGATATGAGAATAATACAGAAGAATTAAAAATTCAAGAGCTTGCGTTTTTTTTTAGTTTTCGCTTTTTATTTCATATCACAAAATCTAAATGAGATAAATAATTACTCTAATACATTTATTGAAATCACATACTGCAATATGATTTCACCCAAAAAGTTATTTTTAAAAATATTTGTTATTTTTTATTACTCAATATATAAAATGTGAAAGCATTTTGTGTAAGAAATAAAACTTTTTATATCATTTTAAAGTACTATTAAATGGCAAAATCCCAAAATCGGACGAAATGCGTCAAATAATGACTGAAAATTAAAAAAAGAGGCATTTTTGTACCTTTTTGGTGCACGTTAAATTATTCAACTAATTTTAAAAATTACATCTCAGTACCAGAAAATCCGATTACTAAAACAAAAATATTAAAATTTAATGTTGTATTAATACTAAAATTTAATGTTGTTATAATATTATTATTTATTATTTGAATCAGAACATCGAGCAAAAATATTTGAATTAAACTTAACTGGAAAAATATTTTAAAACAAATAAAAAGTATGTTTTTCAAATATTTACAAGATTTGAAAAGTTTTCCAATATTTTTTATGTCACTCAAAATTCTATTTTATGCAGTTTTCACTATTAAAACTTATTTAAAATGCTGAAATAGAGATAAAATATTGAAAAGTTGTTATATTATTTCAAAATACTATTAAATAGCATAATCCCAAAATTGGACGAAATGTGTCAAATGATGACTGAAAATATAAAAAAAATATGTATTTTTGTACCTTTTTGGTACACGTAAATTATTGCATCTCAGTACCTGAAAATCCGATTACTAAACAAAAATATTAAAATTTAATGCTGTAATAATACTAAAATTTAATGTTGTAATAATACTAAAATTTAATGTTGTAATAATATTATTATTCATTATTTGAATCAGACCATCGAACAGAAATATTTGAATTAAACTTAACTAGAAAAATATTTTAAAACAAATAAAAAGTATTTTTTTTTTTAATATTTACAAGATTTGAAAAGGTTTCCAATATTTTTTATGTCACTCAAAATTCGATTTTATCCAGTTTTCACTGTTAAAACTTACTTTAAATATTGAAATTATCTTTAATTTTACTCACTTTGCTGCGTTGGAAAACATGATCAAACAGTAAACAAATGTATTCTTTAATCCTTTACAGTAAACACATATAAAAATAAATTCTCTTTTAAATTTTTAAAGCTGAATTCATAAGCTTTTCAGCTTCTTCCTAAACTATTTGATACTAGCGCACCAGAAAAAATTGCTTTTTAGTTTGGGTGTTCTTAGCAATGGTGTGTCTCTCTCGCAGTTTCGATTTATTTTCAAGGACAAAACAGTGTTTACACGCAAATGACGTCACATGCATTGAAGAGTTGGCTAATAATTTCCTTCTTTTCATAAAAGATATTAATCACACACAACCTTTTCTATTTTTTTCTTAGAATTAGATGGTCCAAAATTGTACGAGAATTATAGTTATATTTATCAGTAACTTTTTATTATATTAAAAATAATGCCTATTATTAGGTATTTAAATACGTAATTAATTTTTTTTAAAGATTAGGATTAAATTATTCGAATTTTTAAGGTGCCATTATTCACTCATTTTTATTATTTCGCAAGAAACATAATTTTAAAAGATTTGTTCAAGCATTTTGCTCTAGCTTATATGATCGAATGTAAAAACGATGGCTGTTTTTCTTTTAAAAAAATAAATAAGTAGATAAACAGATCATTGATACGTATACTTTTTCAATCCATTTTTAGCAAAAGATTCTAAAACTATATAATAAGGATGTGTCCACTAATCTGGGGTAATTGTAATCCGGATGTACCCCGGAATTCCAGATTTTCGCCTAGGTCTAAAAACTAGAAGTAGGACATGTGATTTTCCCGGGAATATCGCAGAATTCAGCGTATCTCAGGACCATCGGTTCCTGAGCTTCCGCGTATCAAAAACTTGTAAACCGAAGAAATTTTGCTGAATCCCGTTAACAAGATAATTACATTCACGTGACTGTTCCACCATTTCGATTCTTTTAGTTCGCCATTTTGTACACTTGGAACTGTGCCAGAATCTGCTAATATCGTGATTTTTACTCACGCGATTTTTATCTCAAACATATATATTCGTATTTATCCGATCTAAAAAGCACGCTTTGCAATTCGTATTCACGCATTATAAAAATCGTACATCATGATTAATATTCATGCCAATTAAAAATCCAATATCTAGATTTGTACTTACACGTTGACCCAAAAACCAGGATTCGTATTCAAACGAATTTAAAATCCTACGTCGCGATTTGTATTCACTTATTTTTAAAATCCAATATTGCGATACGTATTTACTCGCTGTTGTAATATTAGAATTTGATTTTCGTATTTATACATGATTTAAAAACAACGAATTACGATTCATATTCACTCGATCTAAAAATTATGCATCGTGATTCGCATTTAAGTGATTTAAAATTCAATATCGCAATTTGTATTTCGGGATTTTAAAATCCAATATCGCGATTGATATTCACGTGATTTTAAAATCCAATATAGCAGATTGTTCCTTGAATTAGTTTCGATAAAAGTGTGACACTCTTCATTAGCAGGTAATTTTATTATAAATGCTAGTTCAAAAAATTATGTTAAATATGAAACATGTTTATGGTACGTAACATGTTAGGCAGCTTTATCAATTTTTTGTACACAAATTTTTCAGGATTTTTCATTTTGTGTCACAATTATCCCTGATTAATACTTTTTCGGAATGTTCAAAAGGCAGGATTTCTATTCCATTTTGCGTATATTATGATAGTATAAATAAATCTATACACATTATATGTAGGTACGTATAGGTGCTGTTACGTAATATGTATTGTAGGTAAATCGGAAAATATGTCTTATTGCTAACCGTTATTCTGATATGCACCAGGTAAATTGAAAATGTTTCAGTATTTTCTAGTCAGTATGCAGACTTATTTCTATAAGCTCTGATACTTTTTGCTAATAAAGAATGTATAATTTATTTTTCAATTGGCTTGATTTATTTACGATTGTTGCAATGAACCCATAAAGAGGGCCAGGATAGCCTGATTAGTAGGGCACTGGGCCCATGTCCAAGAGTCGGTGGATTCGATCCCAGCCGGCCAAAGACTCCCCGTGTAGTAAATGGTGACTGATGCACGTTAAATTTGTCAAGTCGCAAAGTCCTTCATGTTCTAATAACAAATCAATACCTCTGGAGGTACTGATCCAGGAGTTTCCTTGTTTTCTGGTTTGGTTAAAAATTACAAGGCCACGGAGTTGAACATCAGTAGTCGTAAACCCAAAAATTGGGTCGGCTGTTCAGCGACGCATATAATATTAAAAAATGAGCCCATTAAAATTCTTTTATGTTAATCAAAACATATATAACTTATTACTCAATTAATCTGATTCGTTATACTTCAAGACTGCGACATAATATAAAGCCCTTTAAAATAAAGCTAAATAAATTTAAGTTAATTGAGACTGATAAGCCTAAAAGGTCTATGGGATAAATTTAATAAGCCTGGTAATTATCACACCGTATAGAAAATACTAAAGACTCTTCCAATAAATCTGGCGCATTGCAATATAATGGCAGTGTTTGCAGAGATAGATATGTCTCATCATGTTTAATACCCATCATGTTTAATACTCATCATGCTTAATACTCCTCCATTCAAAGCGCCTGCTTAATACACTGCCTTTACAAGAAACCCATTCAAATTTTCGTTTTTTTTTTTTTTTTTTTTTTTTTTTTTTTTTTGTAGAAAATCATCCTACATATATTAAATTGCCTAAAGAGATTGGGATTGATTGTAGTGAGTCTGAAATCATCAGGCTGAGTTAAAAGTACTGAAGATTTTTCCATAAACTTAGAATATTACAAAATAACGTCGATATTTGCAAAAAGCCGTGTCTATAATTAGACTACGACATACCTGTAGTTATCAGATAATGATTTTAATATCTCTGTACCAAAACATAATATGATTGTGGTTTTTAAATTTTCCATCAACAAAATGCAAGAAAATAAAGAAAAAATCATTACAAAAATTATAATATCGATGCCTAAACCTCAAATGGCTTGTAAATTTTGCGTGTTTCATTTAATATTTATATAATTGCATACCAATCCTGTAGTAAATGTTTTATTCTATGATGATCGCTATTTTAAAGCAGTTTCATTATCATTTGTTTATCTATTTTGTTCCTATACAATATAAAACAAAATTGCTTTTTTCAGTATTTTAAAGCACAGCAGTGATAATTCAAAAGACGAAAATTTCGCATAAAACAATGAATAAGATTTACTTTTTATTCGTATATTTTTGGAAGAAGTTATTTATATTTATGATTGTTAGAGATATTTGTTGATAAGCGAATATCTATGGTAACTGAACTCATGGTTAAGTGTTCCATTTTATCGGAAATATTTCTGATAATAAAGTCTTGAAAGCAAGGACAAACCAATTGATCGACACGCAGAAAGTATAAATTAGAACAATCTATCTAATTTATTTTCTAATTTGAATTTTAAAGTGGAAGTAAAAGTTTAACATTTTCCGAATAGATTTTTTGGACAAAACTATGACGAAACACATTTTATCGCAGCTCAATAGTATGAGCATTGATATTATCTAATAATTTATAATAAATTTCTAAGTAATAATTTAAAAAGGAAATTCGAAACAAGCAAAAGGTTTTGGTCATAAAAACATCGATAACAAACACAATAATTAACAAATTCTTTGTTGCATACGTACTAATACTTCATCTCGACTATCTCTGGTATGGAGATTTTAAATTTAAAACTAGTTGTGCTCCTATAGCTAAACATTTCTTAAATTGACTTTTTTACTCTATTTTTCGTCGTACATGTTTAAAAACGTTATAAATAACAGGTGGTCGCATAAATGTTGTGACAAATTTCTTAGATAATTCTGGCACGTCATCGGGATTGAAATTGCATAGGAACACCATGTCCGGAAATGTCGTCGAAAGCGGCAAGGGGCGCTTCTCTAATTATGACCTGTTCAGAGGAGCATGATAAATTAGTTCACAATATGGTAGCACCCCTAAAGGGATAAGATAACATTTCCTGGCATGGGTTCCTATGCAATTTTAATCTTAAAGATGTGCCCTAAGTCCACTAGAAGTTTGTCGCAAAATTTACGGGATCCACCCATATATACATCGTCCTTAAACTTGCACTTTTCGACAAAACATAAACTCTAAACTTCATTTAAGAAAAATCTGTAGCTTGAAGAGAGAAACCGATTACTTCGTTTTTAATACTTAAAAGATAACATCAATGATGTTTGTTTGCTTACGCAGTTCTGGTTAATCAAAATCACCTTTTAAAGAGACTTTAAAAGATCCTTAATAATAATTATTATTTATTTTTGTTACGTAAAATAAGATCAGACGAAATGAACGTGTGATAACAAACTAGTATTTCGAAAATTACCTTTAACCACATGTTTATTTTGATCATAGTTACACGCTTGAAACATGTTTTTATAAATCTAATTAATAAGAAATGAACGATAATTTAAACAAAGAAAATGTGTTAGGGTAATTTTAAGTTAAACGGGCGCAAGCAAATTCATCTACTTTTTTCAATATTATTTTTGTTTCGTATTTATTTAGTTTTTTTTCGAGGGGGGGAGTGAAAGTAAAATGATACTTTTAAGTGAGACGAGCACAATTTATACCATACAGACCTGCGCAGAAATAAAATTAAAAAAATTATGCAACTGTAAAATTGACATTTAACTTTAAATTTCAACTATATATTCATTTTTTGTTCAATTTGACCCTTAGCAATTTCAATTACTTTTTTTCACGTTGATATCAATATATTTAAACCTTGCATGACCTAAAATTTACGTTTTTATTTACTCTTCTAAACATAATTTTTAACCAAATCGCTACATTTTGAAGCAATTTTTGAATACTTACTATTATACAGGACTTTCGATCAATTTTCAACTATTCAACTTTCGAAACAATTTCTAAAATAATAAAAAAGTAGAACTTAAAGTATATTTTACGGATATTTTCTATGTAAAGAACTATTGAATATACTAATCATAACATCTATACATTCTTGTAGAATTCATTTAAAACTTATTCATTTATTCTGTGTTCAATTTAATAGATTTTATTGAATTCAATTTACTATACTAAACATAACGTCCATACGTTGTTGTAGAATACGACGATTCATTTAAAACTAATACATTTATTCTGGCTTTTATTTAAATAGATTTTATTGAATTTAATTAACTAAATTAATTAACTAAACATTGTTTAATTATAATCTGAATCTGCCATTTATTGCGTAGCTACAAATGTTTTGAACGTACTATCTATCTATATATATATCTATCTATCTATCTATCTATCTATATATATATCTATCTATCTATCTATCTATATATNTTTGTACTGATATAAATATATATATATATA